TTACTACGTTTGTTACAAAAGACAGTAAGTTGGTAATTTAAAACATTGTCACACATGGACAGAAGTAATATCATAAGTTATTACATGTAAGCCATACAAAGGTATTTCAAGCATTTTTGTTCAAGCTGTTGAAAGTTTCATGTTGATTTGAATTGTCAGTTTTCTATGCAATTTACATGAGCATTCTGTAAAACGTTTGTATTTGATAGTATATCAGTTACGGTATCGATACACATGCATATAATCATTCAAGCAGATTACAGTAATGAGATAATTGAACGCCTCTTTCGACCTTGAAATAACAGCCTCCGGTAGAATGCATATGTAGTTACGTCCCGTGACAAGTGTAAAATAAAGAGATGCACTGTTATATCATTGGACATCTTGCTTTATGGAGTCACGCCCCTCTCTGTGATGTTTATACATGCATGCACATCTGTAATCTTATGAACCTTGTTTGCATTCAGTAAAGATATAGGCACGCCCACCTTCATAAATATTGGGGTTGGGGGTGTCAACTGCAAGTTTATACACTATAATAATTCAGTATAGTGTCACCTCGTGAATTCTGTAATGCATGTACTCTAGTTTGGATAGTCATTCGTATCAAGCTGAAGATTATATTTACATGTACAGCAAACCATTATGTTTTATGTACTAGTTGTGTGCATAAAATGTATATGAAAATAAATACTACCTCTACTCAGTGGTTGGATTTCAATCGCTTTGTTTTACTTATCGAAAAACACTAAAATGAGGACAAATAAACTCGCCAAGGTGACTATCTACTCCTATTTGTCTTATGTGTATATTTCATACATCGTTAGCAGTGTGTATGTTTACAATACACAAACTGTTACAAGATAGCTTGAGTTGATAAAGCCAAAACCCAGCATATCGACTGGACAAGGATATAGCCAATAACCAATCTCTATCCAAGCTGCTGAGTGACCAAACGTGCTCTTCAGAAATTTCGCCCACGCCCCGTCACCTGTCCTTTCCTCTGTGACAGGTATCTCATGATACGATTGGTCGCAGATAACATATGACCAGCCAATTTACTGAACAGTTGAGATAACAGTGTGTATGTTTACAATACACAAACTGTTACATGATAGCTTGAGTTGATAAAGCCGAAACCCAGCATATCGACTGGTCAAGGATATAGCCAATAACCAATCTCTATCCAAGCTGCTGAGTGACCAAACGTGCTCTTCAGAAATTTCGCCCACGCCCCATCACCTGTCCTTTCCTCTGTGACAGGTATCTCATGATACGATTGGTTGCAGATAACATATGACCAGAGATACCGAACGTTCTATTCGGGAAATTTGATGACGCCCTATCACGTGACTCTTTGTTTTATGTCTATGCAAGGAATATGTAGTATACATTTTGTATATGTATGTTTGTATGGTCACGTATGTTTTCTGCATTAAATCTGTATGAAATAAAGTGCAATGCTATGAATGTGCTTTGTGCTAGTCACAGACTAGCTTTATAGTACTTTCATTAAGAATTCGTAAACACTAGAAATGTATCGGCAAAACCGCTATTTTCGTCCACGATTATAAAGTATGTAAGTAAATTCTTCTTTACAGTATGTCATTGTCATAGATGTTTTGTAAATTTAAACCTCACACAATGATATAAGAAAGAGAATTTGTTAACGTGTGTCTCATCTGTTACATACAAAGAATACATGTGTATGCATATTGTGATAAAATATAAATGTACAAGCCGACAAAAGGTCTACAAGAGAAACTTGCAATAAAATTACATAAGCTTGCAATACACGACATGTATTCACACCTGATTTCTTTCAACATATATCTTTACGACACAATTAAACAATCAGGACTTGTTTGTACAACTAGACAGTTTTCTGTGATCCCCGAAACCTGCCAGGGAAATCAGGTGTGACTAGCACTAATTAGTCTCGGCACAGAGAGTGGGCAATCAGCGAGGGCTTCCAGGTGTTGAGTAGTGATGGGGCTCTCGGGCTTAATGAGTTAAAGAATCTGTCTATGTAACTGTCAACAAAATAAACAGCAGAACGCAGACGGCTTGCAGAGGGAGGGAGCCAATGACCTGTAACAGCGGCAATGTTGGGTCATAAAGGTAAATGCACGTGCAGTTCAAGATAGTTACCTGTGCACTGCACAGTGATAGACCGTTTGGATCATTCACATTGACTACTTCTAGCTGTCATCATGAAAGCTTATTCAGATGATGCTAAACGTTTAATTACAAATGTGTTGAATTTTTGTTTAAAAGAGAGCAAACGTAGCAAACCGATTAAAAGGTGTCGGATTACATGAAACGTACAACTTTTGCTCTTGGCATGAAAAACAACATCGTGCTAAAAGTTGTGAAAAGTAAACCAACAACCAATAAACAAAACCTTGTACAAAAAGGTAGGCATCCAAAGTTAGATTCTTTTGACATCAGGGTCATCAGAATAGCTGACCTACATTGACGAACGTTGACCTTTATGACCCAACACTGCCGCTGTTACAGGTCATTGGCTCCCTCCCTCTGCAAGCAGTCTGCGTTCTGCTGTTTATTTTGTTGACAGTTACATAGACAGATTCTTTAATACAAATGCATAAAATCGGTGATTTACAATGTGATTAGGTTGTCTGACAAAACATCCACTTGCACAGTTTGAGATCGATTGGGTCATTGGATGAAGAGATATTTACAAAAAAGACGGGTCCACATGCATTTCATGCCAAACTATATGTGTGAGGCAAGATAAGTAACTATATAAGCTTAATAAGTAACAAACGATGTCAATATGGCAAATGCGCAGGTTCAGGTTACCGTCACATGTGACTCAGATATTATCTATGCTGATGGGACTTTCTACTCTGCCCCCTCTGTGTTTCACCAGCTGTACTTGTTTCATACTGAGGTGCAAGGCCACATTTATCCTCTCGTGTACTTCCTTCTGCCCGACAAAAAAGAGGATATGCCCAAGCATTCCACCTACTGAAAGCAGCAGCAACACAACGTGCCTTCAACTTATCTCCAGACATCATTCAGATGGATTTTGAGAAGGCTGCCCACAACGCCGTGACGACAGTGTTTCCTACATCACAACTACGTGGATGTTACTTTCACTACTCTCAGTGTGTTTGGAGATATATCCAGAAACTTGGCCTGGTGACTGAGTAGAAAGAGTGTGAATCGTGATGACTTGCGACGACTTGAACGACGTGCCGTTTCACTAGCTTTGACATCTGTTCAACAAGTTGATGATGTTTGGGTCCAGGCTATTGCCGTTTGGGTCCAGGCTATTGCAGATGCTCCTCAAGGCGCTGCTATCACCAGATTTATGGACTACATCACAGAGACCAAATCAGTGGAAAAAGGAGCTGTGGAACCAATTGCTGAATGATGGCCGTCGCACGAACAATAATCTAGAAGGTTGTCATCATCGTTTGAACAATATCAGTGGGAAATGTCATCCCAACATCTATGAGCATGTACGTGTGTTGAAGACAGAGCAGTCCTTTGTGGAGGCCTGCCTTGCGCAAGTGTGTGGCCACAGACATGCACCAGCAAGGAAGAGCTGCTACTGCGGCTTGACAGAAGGCTTCAGCGTCTCAAGGACCAGCTTCAGAGACAAGAGATTTCCATAATGAACTATGCTGATCAGACTGGGCTCACTTGGGATGACTACGATGTGAATCAAGGGTCTGTGAGCAGTGTACACTGTATATTGTAGCACAGTGGCCACAATAAAGAATGTACTGTATAATGTATTTTGTTTTCCTTAATGCCTGGAGCGTCGAACGCAATAGTGTGAATGCCGAACTACCTCCTTACGTAATATCCGAAACATCGAATATATAAAATTTCAATTTTCGACAGTCTGGCTGAACAGCCCCTGTCCACTGATCAGTGGCCTCTCCCACTCTTGTTTCATGTCCCAATTACTTCATTAATTATGTCATGTAGGCAGGCCCTAATTAGGTAAAAGGTCACATGTAACGTAAAACACAACTTTGCAGATTCTGATACCTTTCGGTATGGACAAACAGTAGCAAATTATCAAAAATGCAAATTCAACTTATAATGTTGAAATATAACATAATGAAACCCCCCCACCCCCACGAAATCGGAGTTCAAACGATTCACTAAATTCACCCCTGCTGGGGTGAAAAGTGGTTTCAGCAGCTGTGCTGCACTGCGCTCATGCACAGAGTGAAAGCGCTGTCCACGCGAAATGTGGAGTTGCCCCAAAAGCAACTCCATTTCCTCGCTGGACAGTGAAAGACGAACATGTGGCGCAAGAGTAATGGTAAGTTTTCCCTCGCATTTTCATTATTTTGCAAGTATATAAGGTTTTGCCATTTGGCAGAGGGGTCTAGAAATTTACAGATCTTTCTGTAATAGCTTGACAACCTCTCTATTTATTGCAACTGTGCATTAAGCGAGGGCACCCTCCTGAGCGTCGAAACAAGATCGCGGAAAATGATCGTTTCAACACGAAATATGACAACCTCATCAGCAGACACGCCTTTTTTGCTATCAATTCTTATATATAGTTATTTTAGGTCTTCATTCAGAGTTTAGGCTTAAATCAGGGATCCATCATCACAACAACTACCGTTTCCATTGCCAAGTCTGTGGTAAAGGGTATCAACAACTGTTTTGACAGTTCCATGGAACTAAAATCCATGGAACTACATGGACAGTTACTTCATCGTAAACATTCAACGCAATGGACAGCTTCAACACAACTCCATATAAAAGTACTCATGCCAATGAAAGTCTTCATTACACTTAAGTGCACACCCACCTGCTCTGACTGGGTTTGTAAACCCAAGTACAAAATATTGCACTTTTGATTTGCAATTGTACGCTTAGGAAATGAACTTATCCTACTAATAAATCAGTAACCTCAGAGGGTTTTTAAGTAATCCTTGAGACAATTGGACAAATGAGTGAGTGTAATGCTGTATGACTGTTGGAGCAGCTTTGCTACTTACCATAGTGATGATCTATACTGGCATCCATGGAATCAATATCAGATGCTTTCTTGAACCATTTCTCAGCTTCTTCATACTGTTTCTGTAACAGTGAACCAACAGTGTAACTTTGTAGAAATTTTTATACAAATAAATCTTCATGACTCTTGAGGTAAATTTGAAACAACCAAACAACACAACTAATGCCCACATCAATGTTTGGAAACATACAAATATTTCACTGCTAAGTATCATATACAGAGAGTCCAACCCCAAAGTGTTGCAAATAGTAGTTTTGAGAATCAAAATTAGTAGTTTGACCATAAAATTAGTAGTCAACTAAATACTTAAATCATGATGGATTCTGAGAAAGATAATATCACACTAATCAAGAGTGAAGCTCTAATTTCAAATACCTCCAACAGTAGATTTCCAAATTGTTACTTGCAATGATTCCAGTTCAAATATGTCATTAAATTGGATGAATGGAAGGTAAGTGAAGTCCAAAAATGTATTTAATCGAGGAAAATATGTTTTTGCTTATATATCTGAATTTTCTTCAAATTTCGTAGAATTTCTAGTGTAGTCGTATTGGCGTAGTTTAAGGCTAAAATTCGTAGCGACTACGATAAAATCGTAGAGGTTGGAATCTCTGCATACATCACTACTCAGTGGGGAAACACTGTTTTCTCTCAAAAGGTGCTGTTGGTGCAGCTGTTCACCTCGACTGTAGTCTCATATTAAACAAAAGATGAAGAATATGACCTAAAATTCTTCCCTCCTCTTACAGTCCTTGCTGTTACCATGGTGTACCCCCACTGTGCCCACTTTTCTTAAAACAACAAAAAGCAGTCACCCATAGAACAATAGGGGGATTGGTTATAGTCATTTTCCAGGTACATCTGGTGATGCCGTGACCACAAGTCTGAATAAATTGGTGAGCACATTTCAGAACAAATTGGTGAACACTAACAAATGTCACAGTCATGTATATGTATGATAAAACAAACCCCCACTTCATCATTCATATGCATCATCATGGTTAATGCTCATGTTGACGTTTAGTACATTGGTAATGCATGGGATGGACAAAATTTGATGTATGGCAACTATAAGTTTAGGGTTAAGAACGCCCATCAAGGGAGAAGTACATGTATAGAGACGTTAACAGTAGATTTCACACCCCGAAGGATGATCTCCAGCATGGAAGAAAATCTGTTCTGCAATACCTTGATTGTGTCTCCCTTAATGGTCGTGGCAGAATATGAACATGTAAAAAGCTGAAAAAAGATTCCACATATGTTGATGACAATGTTATTGATGTTACTCATACTGATGTTTCTTCAGATGCATATCACTTGTATGTTAATGAATTACTATTTCAAACTCATTACACTTATGCCTTGCTGAGTTAATTAGGAATTATAACCGAATTGATAGTCTCTAAATTAATCATTCGAAACCTCACGCTACGCGTTCGGCTTCAAATGAAATTTAGAGACTATCAATTCGGTCTAACATTAATCTAATTTCCAAACACAGTACATTTATCTCCATTCTACCATAACCAATTTAACATCGAACTTCCTCGTCCTGCGGAAGACACTGCGTAATCCAGCATGGGACGAGAAGCGAATTGAACTCGTCTGTGAAGGGAGTGGTAGGTGCCGTTCATATTTTTTTTAACATTGCAACATAAAAAATATTCTGTCCAAAGAAAATAAACTACTGTTTATTCAATGCAATAATGTAACACCTAAGAGCTTGGTTTTTATAATCATAACACCACACGACCGAAACCAGCCTATTGTTTTGTGTGCCGTGTTAATGTACCCCCCTGGCCACACTATAATGGAATTGTCTGACCTACTTATTTTCTTGGAAGTAGACAGTTACGCAACAGTTTGAAATGGCGGAGGAGACAGTGTTTACATTTTGCGCAAGGTTGAAATTCGAAGTGACAGTGGAAAATACTTGACTGACTGTCGAACCTGAACCCTGCAGAATCGAAGAATACATCCTTTTCTGATCGACCTATGACCTGTAACTCATTAAAGACTTGATTTTTATGACTGGCGAGTGTTGATCATGATTTCACGTACGTGCCTCCACCCCAGCATGCGACGAAAGAGTGACAGTGCTGCTTTGTGTACATGCGACTAACTTGGGATTCCTTGGAACATTGTTCTCATCATTTGGGACTGGATTATGGCCAAGCTTTTACAAGTGTACGAACATATCAGTGACAGCCTTGCGGGAAAGGTGTCAGAGAGCGGAATTCTCGTTGTTCAATTTTTGACATTTTGAATGATGCAACGGGACATGATGGAGTATGAGCGGTATAAATTTTGTGTTTAGCCTGACCGTTTTTTGGCGAATTTCCTATTCTAAACGAAAACAAATATACCATTTACCAGGTAGGTAAATGTTTACGAACGTTTTGCAGCACAAATAGGGGTAGATAGGGATGAATTTTTACAAGGTTTTCTGATTTATATGTTAGATATTGTTTGTTTATTGCTGTGTATTGTAATTGAGTTTGAATATGTTTATAATAGAATGTAATAATTATGATAGTGGGGTTCCCTAATAATTGTGGAGGAGAAATCGTATAATTGTATTTTTCGAGTTTTAATAAATGTTAAATGCCCAGTCATCGCACTGAGTGCTCCGTGAGATAGCAGTTGTATGACACGGAGGCGACGGACGTGTTTCGTCATCGCTCTACTAGTTGAAACACGTGGTGAGTGGGCTTTCGGCCTTGTTAAGGTGAAAGCCGGTGTTGAAGTTGAATGTCGTAGACATTTTTGTATGGTGTTAGATAGGACATGTGGGGGGTTTACGAACATAGTTCGTTTACAGACAATTAACAGTGTCATTTGTGAAATATGGCACAAGCAGAAGTGTCATTCTCGATGTCAGACAGCGATCAAGTTGATGTACGCAGTACAAAATCACGAAGCGATAGGAGTTCGAAGAACTCTGTGGAGAGTAAAAAAGGAAAGTCTAAAACTTCAAAATCAGATCGTCCGCCTGAAGTTGTCAGACAACAATCTACAGGGGTGTCGCCATTCCCATGAGGGAAGGCTTCAAGACGATTGCCGATTCAATTAAATCTCGGCCACAGGAAACCGGTGGTTTCAGTGAAGGCTATTATCATGACTACTATGATGGTGAATATTATGAGGATGAGTCCGATACTGAATCGTCAGTTGTGCAAAGTTGTGATGAGGGTCCAAGTGATCCAAAAAGACAAAAGTTGTCTGATCAAGACTTAGTGTCTAGTTTGATAGGACGGCGGGATGAAACTGTCAACGAGGCTCCCAAATCTGCTGTCAGTGACAAAAATCTTTCGATACTCGTAAAAATAGCCCAAGAACTGGATACTAACACTGAGAAAACAAGCCCACCGGTGGATGGCAAACTGGCTGAAATTGTGAATGATCTGATATTTAAATTGAACAAACCGGATGAAGTAAAAATGAAAGAGAGATTAGAGAACGTACCAAGATCAGATAATTGCTGTGCATTGGTGCAAACAAAAGTGGAGGACATTGTTTGGAAGAAACTAAGTGCTACATCCCAATCTGTTGACGCTAGAATGCTGAGAACACAGTTGTCTCTTATGAAAGGGATGACCGAAACTACAAAGATGTTAGATAGACTACTGACATTCAGAGATACTACTGGTGAAGAAAACAAGGCTTTTATAGATGAGATTCTGAAACAGGGTATAGAAAGTCTGGAATTTACAGCTTATGCCAACTATGAACTGAATATGAGAAGGAGAGAATTCATCAAGCAAGATTTACATCCAGACTATGCATCAATTATGTCCTCCACATTACCTATTAATTCCAAACTCTTTGGAGGGGATGTGCCAAAGGTGTTAGAAGACATTGATAAATCAAACAGACTAACCAACAAGATGGTGATTCCAAGAACACACTGGGGTGCAAGCAGAGGCCGGCGCCCATATCGTGGGAATCACCTTACCTGGAGGTCACGGAACTTCTATAGACTGACTGACTGAGTTTAGTTTTACGCCGCTTTTAGCAATATTCCAGCAATATCACGGCGGGGGACACCAGAAATGGGCTTAACACATTGTGCCCATGTGGGGAATCGAACCCGCGTCTTCGGCGTGACGAGCCAACGCTTTAACCACTAGGCTACCCCACCGCCCCGAACTTCTATAGAGACGGCCCTAATCATGCTTATGGGTACCGTGGTTTTACAAGAAGGGGTTTGTTCTACTGAACCATGTAGAGACACCTGTGATAGTGTACCTCTTGTGAATGTCAGTAGGTTTACAGCAGGTAGACTGAAACAGTTTGATGAAAACTGGAAAGAAATCACATCAGATCAAGTAATTTTAAATATGATTCAAGGTTGTGAAATTGAACTTGAGGAGGTTCCAGAGCAGAACTTTACTCCAAAACAAATCATATTTGATTCAAGGGAAACAGAAATCATTGATTCAGAAATAGAGAAATTTCTAAAAAAGGGAGTTATTGAAGAGACAGAACCAAACGAGGGTCAATTTGTATGAAATATTTTCATAAGACCCAAGAAAGATGGTTCATACACACTGATACTGAATCTGAAACACTTTAATAAGTCAGTAACCGATCAACATTTCAAAATGGAAAGTCTTGACTCTGCAATTAAGTTGATGAAGCCAGGTTGTTACATGGCATCAGTAGATTTAAAGGATGCTTACTATTCTGTACCAGTTAAAGCAGAGCATAGAAAGTATTTAAGGTTTATTTGGAGAAGCAAACTGTTTCAGTATACATGTCTGCCAAATGGTTTAGCATGCTGCCCCAGACAATTTACCAAGTTGATGAAACCATTTTTTGCCTCATTAAGAGAGAAAGGACATGAGAGTGTACCCTACATTGATGATTATTATCTGCAAGGAGATTCATTTGATGAGTGTCGTGCAAATGTTCGAGACACAGTCTACTTAGTTCAAAAGTTAGGGTTCATTCTCCATCCTACAAAGTCTGTATTAGTGCCATCACAGTCTGTAGTGTTCTTAGGTTTTGTTTTAAATTCTGAAAACATGACTGTCAAGTTAACATGAGAAAGTCTATACAA